GATTTTACCTTCTTCATCTCTCTTAAATGTTGTCATCTTTTCCCATATTTTTATTCCCCTGCCTCATTTTAGGCCTTTAGTATCTTTCGTCCATGCCACTGCAGTTAACTGGATAATTGATTCCCTGCCTCCAGTCTTGTTCCTTTCAAGTCCATTTTCCATTTAACTTCCAAGTATCGAGAGTGATATTTCAAAATGGGAAGTTGGCCATTGTCCCGCCTGACACCTCCCAGGGGCTCCCATTGCCTAACATGACTTTCCTGACCCAGCACGCAGCACACTGTGTTGACCTGGCTGGCATTGACCCTCGTCTTCTCCTCTGCCCAGTCCTTGCCTCATAATGATAGCCCAGTAACTGCCCACATCTCTCCTGGTCAACCGTGGGGTTCCTTGGTCTAGAGGTTGATACTTAGATCTGGGCCACCTTATGTCCAGGAGACCCAAGAATACCAACCCTTGCCCCTCTCAGTTGGAGTTTTAGGGGGATATATGCTAGGGGAAAAAGTGACCAGTGGAAAACCAGATAATCTCTTTATTGTTGGCTGGGCCTGGGGCCCCATATCTGATGCAAATCAAGTAGCCAGGCTAGGAGACCGTGAAACTTTGGCAAGTCTCTAAACCATTCTGTGTCTCAGTTTCCTTACCTGTAAAAATGAGGATAATAATTGCACATACTGTATTCGTTTGATGTAAGACTTATAGGAATTAATCCATGCAAAACATTTAGAGCTATCTGGCATATAGTAGCTATCAGTGAAAATGAGAGAAATCAGTAATATTTATCATGTTAGATCTCATTACTTTGGTTAAGAACTTCTGTGCAACATTGAATAATAGCTATGTTGATGGGCTCCCTGTCTTGCTTTTTGGACCACGATAAGAACTTCGATGTTGCATTCCAAATGAGCTATGGAGCCAGCTTATATCTTCCTCCCAACTCTAGGCTGGATTCTGTCCTGAAAGCTCTGAATAAATAACTTCCCTTTTGAGATTTAGTGTCATTTGTTGTTTGCGAGTTTCTGACTTAGAAACCAAGTTCTATGATTTAGTTTGCCCAGATACCATTTAATCTTTGGAGTTGATATTTAAGTCCCCAAACATGTATATATTTAGGGAATCACAAATCTGCCTCATTCACCGTGTATCCCTGGGGGTCAGAGGACAGTCAGAGGTCAGTAAATATATACTCCATAAATGAAACCTTGAGACTTTTGCAGTATTGATAAGGCAGCAGGCTTTACGTCTGGTAGTGGCTTACCGATGCTGTTCCCTCCCTCTGCCTGTCTCCTCCCCTGCGTCAGCCCCAGGAGAATTCTCTGCGGGCCTGCGGCAGTGCCTCACATATCAGAACTTGTTTTGCTTGAAGAGCCTAGATGGGGCTCAGTTCCCACACTTTGGGAGAGAAGATCCCCAGCAGAAAATGGGTGGTAATGGACTTCATGTAGAGGTTCTAATGGATATGAAGGATAGAAGCAAGACCAATGATGGAAAGGGACTGGGAGGTTTATCTTCCTAACTCCCCCTGCACTGTTCAGCAGTGAAAAGACTGCCGGGGCATGTTTTGAACCCCCTGCATCAAAGCGGAGACTAAGTAGACAGCAGACTGCTGGAGAGGCTGCAGAAGGAAGTCTTGCATGGAGAGAATATTTCTCCAAGTCAAGTGTTCCTTTCAACTCTCAGAATCGAAAATTTTGATAGAAATTGCTAGCTCAGAGACTGAATCCTCATTTGGGCTCTCACGTACATTTTTGCCAATATGCTCACATTTTGGCAATTTTTCTTCTCATTAGCAATTCTGCCAATGGATGGGCATGGGGAAGAAAAGGAGCTGAACTCACAGGAAGCTGTTTATCTGCTTTGCTGCAAGAAGGGTGAAATTGGCTCTCGAGTCTGAAGCTAGGTTTGCAGGACCATTTCTTATTTTCATCACCCTTTTTCTTCCTGCGTTTTATGCCCGCTGACTGCCCGATGCTGGCGATATAGCATTTTCACTTTTTGATTTCTGTGTAAATGCTAACATTCCAAAAATAATATCTGCATGCTGTTTGCTTATTTAGAGATGAAAGCACTTGAAAATGGTTTAACTTTTATTTTAGCTTTGCAGTAATCATATATTAGAATTTTAGACCTTTTGTTCTCTGTGTGCTAGATAGATGAGAAAGCCAGACAAATTTTGCCTTTGTTCCAGGTCCTTTTGTTTAGTAAATGCTCTGGGCCAAACTCCAAGGATTCCTTACCCGAGGGACTTAATGTAGAAACGCAGCACGTACGGTGCAGCACAGAGCATCCGGTAACCAGAGTGTGAGCCTTGGTGTAGGGCGAAGTCCCTGGGGAATGTTTTAGAGCTGGTTGACTGACCAGATTAACTGCCCTGTATCTTTCCAAGAATGGCCCTTCTGGGGATGGCAGTATTCCCTTTATAGGCTGGGAGGGTCTCCTTCTCTGTGCTGGAGAGAGAGAGAGGAGGACAGGGGCGCTCTGGAAAGGCTTCCCGGGAAGGTTGGACAAGACTCCGTGATCAGTTGAATAGTAAGAAAGAAGGAAAAATGAAAGATGGCTGTGGGTTTCTGTCTTTGATGACTAACTGATTTTGCAGAAAGATATGAGTCCAAAGTTTAAGGGGCCTATAGAACATCCCTGCAGAGATACCTGGAAGGCAGTTGAAAATTCCCATCTATGGTTCGGGAGAGAGGACCCAACAAAACATATAGATCCACCAGTCAGCAATGCAAAAATGATAATTGGAATCAGAGCAGAAGAGCAAATCCAGCCCAAGACCGCACCTTAGAAAGATCCAGCATTTGACATTAAGCCTGTGTTGCAGATCTCATAAATAAGTCTAGAAAGCTGAGCCATGGCAGAACCTGGTGACAGTGGCATGACGATGTCACACCTGCCACAGTGGGATAGGGCAGCCAGCCTAAGGAGATGGGATGGAGGAGCAGAGGTCTGAGCAGAAGGCACCCCCAGGAGTTGCTTGCTAGGAGATGGCAGAGGCCTGAGAAAGGGAGGTGACAGCATGAAGGCTGAAGGGGGAACTGCTCTTGGAGCAGGTGGTGGGCAAGGGGTCTACGAGGAAGGAGTATGACTTAGGCAGGGGGTGAGGTGGAAGATTTTCCTCTTCCTTTTCTTCTTTTCCTCCCTCCTCTCTCTCTCTCTTTCTCTGTCTCCCTCTCTCCCTCTCCCCCTCTCCCTTTCCCTCTCTCTCTCTCTCTCTTTCTCTGTCTCCCTCTATCCCTCTCCCCCTCTCCCTTTCCCTCTTTCTCTCCCTTCTCTCCCTCTCCCCCTCTCCCTTTCCCTCTCTCTTTCTCTCTCTCTTTCTCTCCCTTCTCTCCCTCTCCCCCTGCCTTTCCTTGTCTCCCCTCTCTCCCTCTCTCCCTTCTCTCTCTCCCCCTCCCTCCTCCTCCCCTTCTCCCTCTCTCCCATCTGCTTCTATGGGAAGACTGCATCACAGTTTTATACTTGAAGGGAAGAAACCTTGAAGGAGGGACTGATCTAAGCTTCAAAGATGAGAGGACATTTTCTCTACTGTTGGTGTACTTCACATTCAGACATTTCTGTTGCTGGTTTAGCTCTTATAGGTAACAGTGATGAAAAGATTGATGAATTGGACAGTCAAGGAGTAAAGGTATTGTTTGAGGTCTTAATAGATGCAGTGGTACATCAGCTTCCAGATGCCCGGTAAGAATTGTGATAGAATTGCTGATAAAATCAGTAAGAAATGCTTTGCACGGCATTTTAGGTATCAGTTTATACGATACCATTTAATTCTCACAACAACCTTATGACATGGACATGATCCTCATTTGCCTCATGTAAAGATCCATGCTAAGAGAAGTTTCATGACTTGCCTGAGGTTCTATCATTGGGCAAGGCCAGAGGTGTGACTGGACTTGCTCCATCTGAGTCCCCTGCACCAGGCAGAGTGCTGCTCCCATTTTGGCTGTTGCATGCTCTTCTGCTCCTCCTGGGCTAGAAGGCTGCTGGGTCATCAAACAGGCCCTGAATGACCCTGGAGCACTGTCGGAATCATACAGCACGTGGATTACAGGGGCATGCTGGCAGCTCCTGAGCAGGGGCTGTGGTATGGAATTTGACAGTGATGGAGATGCGCGTCCATTGAGCAGCCAAAGGCCAGGTCTCACTGAGCTTCCCCAGGGGCCCAGCAGGCGCCTCTTTCCCCAGCCCCACTATTTATGCAGCCTCCAAAGCATTGTGCCAGGGGAAAGACAAGGCTGCATGACTCATTCGTGGCCTCATCCCAAAAGTGCCTTGTCTTGACCAGGTGGGCGTGAGAAATAGGTTTTACCTGCTAGACTTCTCTAATGGTTGACACTTGTGTATGCTGGTGCTTGCAGGCAAATACTGCGGAGGAATTGATTTAGCTAAAGAAGCAAATACAGTGACGCATCACTGAATAGCAGGGATACGTTCTGAGAAATGCGTCCTTAAGCAAACTCTTAGTTGTAGAACATCATAGAATGGACTTACACAGATGTAGAAGGTATAGCCTACTTGCGCTTGCAGGCTGTATGGTAGAACCTACTGCTGTGACCGCTGTTGTATATGCAGTCTGAGGTTGAGTGAAACGTCATTATGTGACTCCTGACTGTAGATCAGGGAACTAACTGTAATGAGAAAACTACTTTTAATGTCATTCACTTAAAAAAATGATAGATTACTGTATTGCTTTTTTGGTCTTCTTCTTGAACAAAAACTAAATTCTGAGGTGGATGAAAACAGAAAAGAAGTAACAAAAGCAAATTCATTCAGTAGAGACAGCTCCTCCTCTGAGGCACCTTGTCCTGGTCCCTTGGATGGTCACTGCAGAGGCAGGTCTCAGCATTCTTGCCTTAGTGGTTTTCCCTAGAACATATCACAGGTGATGGGGCCTGCTCATCTTAGACCTTCTGGGTGTCAGATGCTCATCAGGTGGGAGCAGCAGCGAAGGCAGACATCTGGGGCCCACCTTCTTTAACGCCTCCTCATTGTCCCCACAGCCTTTCCGCTGTGCCCACTGCCATTACTCCTGCAACATATCTGGCTCTCTGAAGCGGCACTACAACAGGAAGCACCCCAATGAGGAGTATGCCAACGTGGGCACCGGGGAGCTGGCGGCGGAGGTGCTCATCCAGCAAGGTAGGCGAGGGGCCAGCAAGCTGGGGCCCTGCCTGCTTCCTTGTATACCAAGTCCCCCAGTGGGAAGAGCTGCTGACATCCTGCAGTTCAGTTCTCACACATAAATGTGCTGGTGACGTTCGTTCTTCCTTGTCATCATTATTGTCATCATCATCCTTATCATTGTCAGCATTACTTCCTGCCTGATTAGTATTAGAACAAGCTTAGTGGAAGTCTAAAATGACAAGTGAAAATTCACCCACAGATTCTACTACCCTCAGCAATGCTTATTTGTCAGCATTGCCTTCCATTCTTTGTCGGTGCATAAAGTTCACGGAGACGAAAGTTCAGTTGTCTTTCTTTACTTCACGTTAACAGGAACATTTTGTTTTTCTTTGGTACATTGTCTTCCTAATTATGACTTCTAAGGGCTTTTTGTAATTCAATATTGAATGGAAACACTGACAATTCTGTTATTGAACATTGTGGGGTTTTTAGATTTTTTCTTTCTTTGCAGTTATAACTAATGCTATTGTAGGCATATTTATAGGTGAACCTTTTTGGATTATCTAAAAATATTTATTGAGTAAGCTTGTTACTTATTCATCCTGAAAAGAAAAAAAGGCATTCTAGAACATTTAAACTAATGAGAATTGATGAAAGCCTCTTTTCATTTTAAATTATTACAACTTTGTGGGGTTTTTTGTTGTTTTATTTCAATAAATAATCACATTCCCACTTGAGAGGGCTTAGCTTATGTGTTGTTACCATACAGAGAATTCTGTTGTATTTATATCTGCACTTCAATAATTCAGCTAAAAAATGATTGCAGCACACTGTTTACTGCTCCTCTTTCCTAAGTCCTGTGACTATTTGAAGCTGAAGACAGATTTAGAAATCTGCCCCCAGTAAACAGAGATGTGGAATTGTAGACTGCTGCAGCTGGGGAGGCTTGGCGTTTTGTTTCAGCGTGAAGCTCCGCTCGCCGTAATAGCCATGAAATGCATCTTAATGTAAAACAAATGAATTGACTATATCCTTCAGCACTTTCAGTGACAGGGCTGTTGCACGGAAATAGATGAGCAGCACAGAAGACTCAGGATAATTTTAAAGCCATCCATCTGGGGGTAATGGTGAGCTTGCGTCTTCGTTTTCCTAATGGCAGTTTTATGGAACTGGGGAGCAGGATATGCCGTGGGGAGGGCCCTGGCTCCAATCTGCATTCTTCTTTTTTAGCTGCGCCATCTTGGGCAAGCTCTCAGGCCCTTCACCTGTAGAATGGAGTTCACAGCAGTCATCTTCCACGATGGTGGAGAGGATTAACTGAAAAAACACGTGCATGCAGTACATGTTCAGTCCTTGCTTTTGTATATTTTTTTCTGAACATATTTAGGACTTATGGAGCCATCACATTATTTTTTATGACCCATGCCAGTGCCCCATGTCCAGGAATTACAGAGGGGAGAATAGATTGGCTTACAGCCCCAGTAAATAACTGGAGTTGCAGGTTAGGGATTCTTTTTCACATCCTTCACACTCTTGGTTTGGATTGCCAGGAAATAGATGTTTACTGTGGCTGTTGGGACAGGCGTGAGGATCTGAGTGATGATACCGTCATTGCCCTGTGCTTCCAAACTTTCATCATTGCCTTGCGAAAAATGTGCTGAGGTTGAACTGTTTCATGCCCTAAGTTTCCAGTTAACTTCCTAAGACTCTCTGTAATCAGTCATCATTCCCTGACAGGAGCAGGGTTTTATATTTTATCTTTGCAGGGGTGCTTTTGGTTCCTCTTTCAGAGATACATATACACACATACACACGCACACACACACAGATATATATTCACAGTTGTTCCTAGGCATCCATGGGGGATTGGTTCCAGGACCCTCCACAGATACCACAATCCACAGATGGCTCAAGTCCATTATATAAAATGGCATGGTGTTTGGATATAGCCTACACACATCCTCCTATGTACTTTAAATCATCTCCAGATTACTTATAATAACTTATACAATGTAAATGCTATGTGAGTAGTTATTATAGTTTGGTTTTTAATTTATATTATTTTTGATTTTTGTATTGTTATTTTTTATTTATTTTTCCTGAATATTTTCAATCTGCAGTTGGTTGAACCCATGGATATGGAGAGCCATTTGTACATATATATAGATGTATTATTTGTATATGCAAATGTACTTGTATGCATATGTATGTATATATGTTTATCCCCCCATTCCCTTCAAGGGCCACGTTGAAGGAGACGACCCAGTGTCTCTCGACTCTTAAGAGGCCTTGCGCCGCTGTGCTTTGGCAGGAGAACAGTCTCTGAAATCAGATGGCTGGTGGAGTATGAACACAGTTTAGAAATCTCAGAAGCACAAAGTTCACGTTGTTTTTATGTCTGGGAGAGGGGAGCAGAATGAAAGGAGAACATGAAACCAGATTCAGTTACTGTTTGGAAATGTTGAATTGTTTGGAACCACTGCAATTTTTCATTTTCTTTTGATTAATTTCAAGTAACTCTCTCCATCCCCATTTGGTTTTATTTTCCTCTTCTACTCCCCCAAAAATATCTTTATACTTTATGATTTGATATAGAGGAACATGTCTTAAAATAACATCATAAAAAACACAAATAACATGTATTTTTCTCAGAAGGATTTTACAGTCTCCTTTAAACCACGTGCAGGGATCCCTTGTGTATCAGCTGTATTAAACAGTGTCACACTGTGATATGTGCAGCTATTGATTCCTAGGAAAGACCCTCCTGCCTGCCATGCCACAAGGATCCCGGGATTCCAGGGAGTGGTTCAGTGCACAGTGCTGCAGAGGAGGTCAGGAGAATGGCCTAAAAGGAGCCGAGAGTTCCCACATCAGACACGTCTGTTCTTTGCAGGTTTCTAAAGGAAGGCACTATGGCATTCTCCATGGAGTTTGGGTGGTTTACCGTGTGTTCCCAAAGCTTGCTGGGAAGGATGGCTGCATAGGCTCTTCCCAAGTAGGAGGGAGGGGAAACCTGACTTGTAGAATTTGCCAATTTCTGTCGTGTAAATATTTCTACCATGGCCAAGTTTAAGCTGCTAACATGATGTCACTCAACGTGGAGCTGGGGGACGTGTGCCCATTTGGCTTATGAGCTTGCGTATCTTGGCTCCCACGTACCTTTCACCCTGAGAGCACTGGGTGACATTGCCAGGTCTCTGCCACCAGGGCCTGTCTGGATGCACTGATCCCTCAGAACTCTGATACTTTGTAGTAATTAAGGTAGTACTGAGCACTATGTAAATATTGTACTCCTGGCTTATATTTTATGTGCATCTGATGCTTTGAAGACAGATTCCTCTTAGCCATCACTTATTCATTAATATGGATTTGAGGCATTCTCTCACACAAATGCACATTTCATGCTGTTTAAGGAAGAAATACTTGTATTGCTTCAGTGGGCCTGCCCCTTTCCTCCCCTTAAAATACACCTGATTAAACTAGCTCAAGAACTGGTTCAGTAAATCACAGTAAATCACAGGCATCAGATACTTCAGATACATCAGATACATCAGATACTTTGGTGCTAAGCTTTACGAAATCTTTTGCTCACTCCTAGAGCATGTAGCAGGGTGAAAATGGGGTTTAGCGGGCTTTCCAGTGGCTTCCAAGCCGTCCCTCAAGTCTTTCTAGAGACTTGGAGTGAACACAGGCTTGGGAGTCAGATGGACCTGGGCTGGGATTTCTGATCACCGTGGACCTTGGGCCAGGTACTTAACCTCTCTGAATCTTGGTTTATATACCTCCGTAGCAGTTGCAAAGATTAGATGTCATTCTCTAAGATTCCCAGAGAGTGCCAACAGTAAGTTCTTGATGAATGGCTCAAATCCACTATTACGTTTATCCACATATTTCTACTTTGAGCATGTATCTCCCAAGCACCTACAGTGGGCCTGGCACCATGCTAGACATTGGGACTTGGTGTCAAACAAGGCAGTCATTGTTGGTATTATTGTTATTCCTGCCCAGGTTGGGGACCAGGGCTAGGCAGCTCCCGCCAGAGCTCTGTATTCTGATTATAGCAGAAGGAATACATCCCCTTCAGCTATGGCCTGGAACAGAGTTAGCTGCTTCTCCCAGGGGACTGTGTCCCCCAGTTTTAGAGAGTCATTGAAGTGTAAGGGTGGGTAACTGGAGCAAGAGAAAGCAGTAAGAGGAGAAGTGTTGAGGAGAAGTCTTAGTATTTGGCATCTGCTAGAATCTTTATGTTACTTCGAAGTGCTATATTAGAAAAGTGTAAATATGTATGCATGTGTACCATGGATGTATGTTCATATATGAGTTTTTTACACCAGATTCAGGGAAAATAGCATAGCAGGAAATCCAGAAACTGTGAAGTAACCCACAGGTGATATATTTGATTTTTAGACATCTTAATTTTAAAATTGTTTTTATTAGGGCCCGGATTCAATAAGTTGTTGGCACATGCTTCTAGTGATGTGATATAATGCTGTGTTATTGATTATTATTTTACGTGTTAATTTATCTCTCACAATGGCCCTGTGAGCTTGGCATAATCATTCCTATTGTAAAATAATGAAATGAAAGGAGTGCTAATAACTGACCTCAGGTCACACCAAGTGAGCAAGTGGCCAAGCCAAAGCTCACATGTTTGATGTCCCCTAAAGTTTGTAGATGTTTGCACTTAGTAGAGAGGAGGAGAAGAAAGGGGAGGAGAAGGAAGAGGCGTAGTCATCTCTTAAGCAATTGGGCCACATTTGCTGGTGGTCATATAGTAGTTTGTGGAAAAGTCACACACATGGATACTGTTTATTTTCTCTTATTTCTTCATCCCCAAGGCTAGTTGCTAATCTGACCGAAGACTGACTCTGTGACCTGTCTCTTTCCAAGCCCTTCCCTGTGGTTATCCAGAGTGTCTCAGATCCCAAGATTTGGGGCGCATGTGAGGGGAGTGGGCAGATGGGAAGACCTCACTTACGCTCCTCTACCAAGTGTTTCTCGTGGGGTTTGGGACC